TCCTGATCATTAAAGTTGCAAGTTAAAAGAAGGAAGTATGCTAGTTTGTATTTTGTGCCTTCTTTAAAAATTATTAAATTAATATTGTTAAAAAAATTAATGATTTTTGTACGTATTGTCATTTTCGTATTATGTGTATACATAAAATAGAAATATACTTTCTCTGGTAGATTATGGCTGTGTGATTAAAGACAAAAACTACCTAGTGTTTAAACTCGGAAAAAGTATATAAAATGCCTTAACAATTCTTATATTTAATTCTGAAATGCAATAATACGTATTAATTATTTCGAATTATTTGTGCGACATTATTAATGAACAAAAAGATTATAAAAGACATTGCATTTTTTCTAAGTAGCAATTTTTGCAACAACTGTTTTGCGTAGTAGTTTTCCTTGAGAAGCATGAGTTTATAACATCAGTATGTTACTTTACGATATGAAACTATGTCATAGATTTTAAGAAGACATACTTTTGCTATAGACGAGTCTTAATATTTTGAAAAAAGTGCTGTTTATTTCAAGTACAATTTTAATACTTGTACGGCTTAAATATTATTACTTGAAATTAATGTTATTACGGAGAAGCTTTAATGTAAGAAATAAATGTCTGTGTACACTGCTTATTACATAATTTTTAAAATCACCGGATACACTAGACTGGACCATATAAATTGCAATTATTTAATAACGTTAATTTCTCGACAAGGAAGGGAAAAGTTTCCAAAAATATAGAGTTGTATAGAATACGTAACTATCTACCGCAATAGAAAATTGTATCAAATTATATATATATATATATATTGTAATGTGAAATTAATATCTTCAATGTTATGAAAACATTTTTTTAATGGGTGCAAAAATGGTTGCAATTGTTTTATTAATTAAGAAAAGAGATATTTTATTAATTTCAAGAAGTTAATTATAGATAACGTTTAATGAGTATGATATTTGACTTGAAACATTCTTACAAACGCTTTCGAAGTAGTATGTATTATACTTTTCATTTTCATATAAACGAAAGTACAGTTGATCGGAAGAATAATATATTCACATTGCAAAATAAAAAATATTTTTCGATGAATATATAAAATATTTTAATTTTAGGCTCCAGCTGGTTGATAACGTATGCTTTGGGCTAGCGATATATGTAGTTCCGTCATGCGAGACATACTTAAAAAATGGATTCACGAAGTCATTAAATCCAGAATTTATTGTACTATAGAAAAATAGTTAGCATGAAACTGCAAACATACTGTACAGATCCCAATCCAAGTCTACTAATATTATCGCATCCTATAAAAAATATGTTAATTTTCTGAATAATAAGAAACAGTTGGCAAAAGTCAGTTAAGGTACATTTGCCTACGAAATTGTAAAACACTGAAAATTATCCGGTTAAGGGCTTAATATTGCATATACTGTAATTAAGTAGTATTGTATAACAAACAGGGTCATTTATTTGTAATCATTATCTTCATAAATTAAACGAATGATACAACAAATTTTCGATTTACGTATGCATAATAGGATTTTAATTAAGACTAAATTAAGAAACATTAAAAATTGTTAATGCCAGTAACCGATGAACCCTCTTTTACCTTGACTATTATCATCGATCATTTAGTAAGGCAAACTTTTACACGAATCTATACTCTTTAATCTTATTATATTTGTCGTCTTTGTGTATTATTGTACTGAATTTATCATGCATACTTTCTATATTATTAATGTCTTGAAATCGTATTTATAAATACTTTCCAATATTCATATTCCACGAATTACAGAAACATGTCTTCTTCAGTCGCTATTTGCACAATTTTTAATTTGTTTTCTAGCTCTAATTGTAATAAATTTGTAATTGTTTTAGAACTGCCAGTGAACCTTCATTACATTACCCCCATTAATTCGGGGATCGTTAAATTGTTTCCTAAAAAAATGATCTATAAATTACTTTCAGAACTTCGACGGTAAAATAATCGAAGCAAACATTTATACGTGTTCGTACAGTGAGAATTTTGAAATCGCGTACCAATTTCAGATTTCCCGGCATAATCTCAAGGCATTAATACTATATAAGAAACGTCTCAGATTATCTCAGTAGGCAGATACACAAAGATGAAAAGTAAAATGATAACATTAACGAGCTTAAAAAAAGGAATCGATCCGAGTTACATACAAAAATGATACAAAAATCTGTTTTATCGAACAACCGTGGTACGACAAATTAAAGAGGGATCTACTTTCTATAGTGTAACATGCGTAGTTTCGCCGAATGTTCTGAATTTTATTTATCCTCAACGATAGTTTATCGTTCGATTCAACAATATCGATTGAAATTGAAAATTTGTTTTATGATTTATTTAATCGATTCGTAGCAAAGTGATTTCTCAATTTACATAATATAATAACGCTTGGTACGAGTACGATAACATGTAATCGTTGCTCGGACAATTTGTCAGGGTGTTTCCGAATTTGATTCAGCCAGCGTGCATAGTTCGGGGGGTGTAACGTTACGGCGTTACGATTACACACGGTTCACGTTCACGGGTAGGAGAGCGTATATGAAAATTCCTCGCACAGTGCTGCCATCATAGTGGGAGCGGTCTCCAACCTCGGCTCCCCCCACCAGGCAGCCAATCCCATGGCAGGTTGAAAGCCTTGCGGCTTTTCGTCGGGTCCGCTGATAGTGGGATACGATATAGCTCCTTGCGTGTGTGCGCGAGGGAGACAGCAGCAAGGAAGAGCTCCCCACTAAGCTCAGTCGCCTTTCACGAGCACGGTCGGCTGGGCGACTTGGTGCCGCGGGTATAGCCGTAAACGTGAGCCATCGTACTCAAATTCCATTCGTATCGAAGTACTGTTTTATTGACTTGACACGGGGGACAGGATCTCTGAACGGATCGTCCTCCGTAGTCCAGCGGAGACGGTGCTCGGGCCGCCGGTGAACGCGTGACAGCCAGTGTACCAGCCCGCACGGTTCCGGCGACAGGCGAACACTTTATTGTGATCCTTAACGATTCCGACAGCGAGAAACCAGTGTTCCAGGACTTGTTTCCGGTTCGGTCAGCGCTGTTGCCGTGTCTCCAGCCGAATTTTTACGCGCGAACCACTCCAGGAGGGGATTTGAAAGCCGGCGATTACGATTTCGAGCGACCGAATCAAAATAAAGAATTGCCCGTTTTTTTGGTGGCCGAACTATGACCGCCTGCACGGCGTAAGCCGAAGATACACCTCGAGGATGAACAGGCCAGCCGATCGAGCCCCCCTTCGGTGAGTAATTTCTGTTTCTATCGCGTGACAACGCTTTTACTTGATCGGGCCGCTGGCCGACTTATTACGCCGGCACGGTGAAAGGAAAAGACGTTTCGCTGGGGAATTCACTGGCGTCACATTCTTCGAAAATATTCCGGGAATTGCATCCGTCCGCGCAATTATCTCCGCGTTCTCGGTAGGCGCCTCGTGTCGTTTCGGTTCCCCCATTCAAAAAGGAATCGTGCGTGAGAAGCGTGTAGCAGGTATCTGAACACTAGTTGCTTCCACATTCGAAGGTCAATGAACAGTATTGACGTTGATCTTTGACACTTCCCGGATTTGACTCGGGAACGATCGAGCCCGCTACTTTTCACGGTGTATCACGTGACTCGAGGATACTTTTATCGGCGCTGTTTAACTGTTACACGCCGTTTCCATTAATGGAATTTCCAGTTTGCAGCGCTGTCCGTCTGTTTGCTCTCCGGGATTTCTTGAGCTTGAAACTGTCCTCTGCGAATATGGGCAATTAAACGGAGCACTGGCTACACGTGAAAACCTTACGAATCGTTTCTAATTAGAACGAACCTATTGTCAAGAATGTTTGAAGGATTGATCTTTAATAAAAGTCGTTGATAAAGAAATTGTAGGAGAATGTCGCGAAATTTTGGAGTATATTTTTTTTAGTTGTGCACAAATACTAAATATTAGATTTTAATCGGTGACAAAGTAAATATTTTTTCTCGAGTAAAAATCTCAGATATTTTATATATTTATTTATATTTTATATATATTATTTTATATATTATTTATATTTTATCTATATTATTATATATATTATTTATATTTTATATATCTTTTCGATATTACCGTGTAAGAAGTTTGCTAATCGTTTAA